CACAATTAAGAAACCAGTTTCCAGATAAATATGGCAGTCAGAACACTTGTATGTACTTTTACTCCCCATTGAAACCACAATAAAATGATAATAAAGGGATTTTGTAAAACAGTATACACAAATATGGAAGAAATAGGAAAGGATATATCAAAATTTAGGGGGCTGGAAAACAAAAGAAAGAGTGATACAGACTCAGCAGATGCAGGAAAATGGATTCCAAATCTGGCAAAAGGGAAAGCCAAGAACTCACCCAATTTAGTAAAACAGAATTCCCTTCAAAAGCTTAGGAATTTGGAAGTAGGAAGAGCCTAAATAATAATAATTGATTGAAAGACTCCCAGGCCATCTACCCCATACACCCAGCCAGGGGATTGCCCCTTCCCCACGTAGTTGAACAACAGATGTTTATTTGGGTCTGGGAGGGTAAAGAGGAAGATTTCTGAAGGGAAGGAAGCCAGGCACAGTTGAAGTCAGGGTTGTTGTTGTATGCCATCAAACTAATTCTGACTCATGGTGATCCTATCAGACAGAGTAGAACTGTCCCATAGGGTTTCCTAGGCTGTAATCTTTTAGGAGCCAATTGCCAGGTCTTTTCTTCCGTGGAGCTACTGATGAGTTCAAACCATAGAACTTTCAGCAGCTGAGTGCTTCGCTATTGTGCCACCAGGGCTCCTTGAGGACAAGGTACCATACTGAACACAGAGAGATTAAAGAATGGACACATGCTGGATGGTGAGACCACAGCCGTCCTCCTCAGCGCTCCAAATACTTGCAGATAGATCTTCATCCTCCAGGAAGTGTAGGCATTGAATGTTTAGCTATAATCAGGAAATAGTTATAGTGGGAGATTAATATGTGTGTCAGTGGGGTAGTGGTGGTGGTGGTGGTTATAGAGGTATAGAAAGAAAGATAACTAAGTCTTGATATTTTATTGTGGATATTTTATTGTGGATATTTTATTGTAGATATTCTATTGTTGATTCTGACTCATAGAGACTCTCCCATTGGGTTTCCAAAGCTGAAAATCTTTATGGAAGCACATTGCCTCATCTTTCTTTTGCAGAGGAGCTAGTGGGTTTCAACCACCGACATTTTGGTTAGCAGTCAAATGCCTTAATCACTACACCACCAGGGTTCCTTTGATAGTGGATAGACAACAATTAATGTGTAAAAAAACAAAAAACAAAAAGCTCAGGAAGTAGCAGCAATATGAGTTTATTGTTTAGAGAAAAGATGCCAGAACACAATTATCAGTAAAGGGTGAAAGGAGTTGCCTCTATGAAGGGAGGATGGGAGAAATGTGGAGCAGAAGGCAGGGAATGCTTGTTTTCATAACAATCTTTATAGAACTATTTTGTTCTTTAAGAACTTTGCAAGTAAAACTTTGATTAAAAAATAAATATCAAATTGGTTAACAACTAACTGCTAGAAATGAAAAATTCAAGGAAGGGTGAAAGAAAGGCAGACAAAGAGACAGATGAAGAAACAGGCAAAAAAAAAAAAAAGAAAAAAGACTCCAGGAATTGATAGATTACCCATTGAAATGTTTCAACAAATGGATGCCACTCTGAGAGAGAGAGAAAAGAAATGGGAGATTTAGGATTATTTTTGTATTATTGTTTCAGCACTAAGGTCTCAAGAGACTGTAGGATATAAAGCAGAGAACCATTTTTTAAGTCAATTAAAGGCAATGGAATAACTTATGTGCTTTCCTGTCTAGTGATGTCAAAGGGATTTTTTAATAAATTATTTTCTGATTCTCATGAATGGATGAGCAGTATATTGACAGAGAACTTCCAGAAATGCAAGCTGGATTTAGAAGAGGATGTGTAATGAGGGATATCATTGCTGATGTCAGATGGATGTTGGCTGAAAGCAAAGAATACCAGAAAGATATTTGCTTGTGTTTTATTAACTATGCAAAAGCATTTGATTGTATGGATCATAACAAATTATGGATAACATTGAGAAGAATGGGAATTCCAGACCACTTAATTGTACTCATGAGGAATCTGTACATAGACCAGGAGGCCTATGTACCAAGGGGATACTACATGGTTTAAAATCAGGAAGAGAGTGGATCAGGGTTGTACCCTTTCAACATGCCTATTCAATGTGTATGCTGAGCAAATAATCCGAGAAGCTGGACTATATAAAGAAGGATGTGGCATCAGGATTGGAGGAAGATTCATTAACAACCTACGATACACTGACGACACAACTTTGCTTGCTGAAAGTGAGGATGACTTAAAGTACTTACTGATAAAGATTGAGGACTAAAGTCTGCAGTATGGATTATACCTCAATATAAAGAAAACAAAAATCCTCACAACTGGACCAATAAGCAGCATCATGATAAGTAGAGAGAAGATTGAAGTTGTCAAAGACTTCATATTACTTGATGTGTTAGACTGGGTTCCCTAGAGAAACAAAACCAGTAAAGCTTATATATATATATATAGATAGATAGATAGAGAGACAGAGAGAGAGAGTGAGAGAGAGAGAGAGAGAGAGAAATACTGTCTGTTGACTCCAACAAATGATGAATCCAAGATCTCCAGGCTGAATGACATATTGCATTGGGAAAATCTGCTGCAAAAGACCTCTTTGTATTACTGAAGAGCAAACATGTCTGCTTGAAGACTAAGATGTGCCTAACCCAAGCCACGGTATTTTTAATCACTTCATATGCATGTGAGAGCTGGACAATGAATAAGGAAGACTGAGGAAGGATTGATGCTTTTAAATTGTGGTGTTGGCAAAGACTACTGAAAGTACCATGGATTGCTAAAGAACTAACAAATTTGTCTTGAAAGAAGTGCAGCCAGAATGCTCCTTGGAAGTGAGAATGGTCAGACTTCATCTCATCTACTTTGGTCATGTGGTCAGCAGAGACCATTCTCTGGAGAAGGATATCATGCTTGGTAAAGTAGAGGGTCAACAAAAAAGGGGGAGGCCCTCAACAAGATCGATTGACACAGTGGCTACAAAGATGGGCTCAGATATGGCAAGGATTGTGAGGCTGGCACAGGAACAGGCAGTGTTTTGTTCTGTTGTACATAAGGTCACTATGAGTCGGAGACAACTTGATGGCACCTAACAACAACAACAACAACAACAATAACATCAACGGATGAAAATAATTTTGTAGGCTTTGTTCCTATTTTACAATTTTTATATTTTGGTTGGTATTTTAGAAATAATTCCCTGGATTTTATTTATAATTACATTTAATTTATATTTAATGCAAAACTTTGTTTTATTTACTAAGGTCAATTGGCATAACATAGTCCACAAGGACAACGTTCAACATCCTACTTTGGTGAGTAGTGACTGGGGTCTTAAAACCTTGTGGGCACCATCTAAAGTACAACTGCTGATTTCTCCCCGTCTAGAGCAAAGAAGAGTGAAAAAATCAAAGACGCAAGGAAATAATTGGTCCAAAGAACTAATGGACCAGGTGAACCCCAGACTCCATGACCCTGAGACCAGAAGAACTACATGGTGCCTGGCAGCACTGCTGACCACTCTGAAAGGGATCACAATAGGATACAGTAGGTGAAAAATACAGAACAAAACTCAGAATCATAAATAAAACCAGGCTTTCTGGCTTGAAAGAAACTGGTGGAATGCCAAGACTATGACCCTAAGATACCTTTCAAACCTGGAACTGAACTCAGCCCCATGGCTCAACTTTCAGCCAAACAGTAGACAGGCCTGTAAGGTGAACAATGACATCAGGGAAGAAGCACTCATTAGAACAATTAACCATATTATATCAAAAGGACAGCATTTGCCCAGGGATAAAGCTCACAAGACAGGAAGGGATAGAAGAGAAGGATAAAGGGTAATGGTAAACACTGGGAGGAAGTGTGAAGAGTGTTGCTATATTGTGGGGATGGCAATGAATGTCACAAAACAAAATGTGTATGAATTGATGAATGGAAACCCCAAATTGCTCTGTAAACTTTCACCCAACTCACAATTTTAAAAAAAATTAAAAAAAACTGTCTTATGATAGGGTGTTCATTTAGTCAACAAGTGCTTATTGAGCACCAGTTATGTACATCAGGTTCAGTCCTTGGAGAAGGAATATCAAGATGAACTATTCCAACCACATAAAACTTAACAACCTAGCAGAAGAGGTAAGATATGTAATTTGATAACTGCTATGTAAGGTAAATAGTGACAAGTGTTGTAGCAGAGGTTCAGATAAGTTGTTACAGAAGTTCTAAGCAGGAAGAACTTAATTCCATCTGGGAATATTGGGGGGTTCTTGAAGGGGTGATATTAATATAAATACATAATTATGTTTGTTTCTTTCAGCTTATATCTTGTCCCAGTTCTTTACCCTCTGTGCTTTATTAAAAATGATAAACAGGCCTATAAAGTGACCAGTAATATCAGGAGGGCACTCTTCGGAAGGAAGGTTGGGCAATCTACTTCCGAAGTGATACTGCCTCGGCAACCCAAGGAGGTGTTGCTATGAATTGGGTCCGACTCGACAGCACATAACAACAACAACAACAACAACAAAGATGCACTTATTAGAACAATCAAGCATATGAGATCAAGAGGACAGTATTTGCCCTGGGATAAAGCTAGGAAGACAGGAGGGGATGTAAAGGAAGAATGAAGGGAAGGTGTTTACGCAGGGAGGAAGCAGGAAGAATGCTGTTAGAGTGTGAACATTGCAGTAAATATCACAAAACAGAATGTATGGATTGTTGAATGGAAAACCAATTTGCTCTGTAAACTATCACCCATATCACAATAATAATAATAATAATAAAATACAGACAAGATAAGAGGAATAGTTGTGTACAGTTTCTCTATTCTTCCTTTGGTTGGTGGGGAGCCCCACTAGCCAGGAGAACTCTATGGGCCCCTGGGACAGCTGCCATTTTTTACTTTAAAAGCCCTTGCAGTACACTCAAAGGCCATAGCTGTAACTTTTGAAATAACCCATTTTCTATAAGCATTAAAAATATTTTCCTTGCCTTTGAATCCTGGAGCGTGTCAATAAGTTCTTCATTGTCTAGAATATTTCCTTCAGATGTAAAAAGCATTCTTAGGATTTTCTCCTCGATAGATTTCAGCTGGTTCTTGTCAGTGTTGATCCTCACAATGAGCTTGATTCTTTGTTCTTCCAACTCAGGTTTTTCAAGTCGCACAACATCACTAGAACAAAAGTTTGAATACCTAAATTAGGTCTTGTCCATGTTCTAGTGTTTCTATTTTCTTCTTTCCATCTTGTTCCTATTCTGAATACTATTTGTTGTTTGTTGAATACTATTTAGGTGAGCATAAATGCTGTTAACTGAATCTGAAAGTACAAGGCACCTTGTTTGGTGGGTTTATACCTGTGGTTCTTTACTACCTATCTGTTCTCATACTTTATCTTGTACAAGCGTACCTCGTTTTATTGCACTTTGCTTAACTATGCTCTGCAGACACTGTGTTTTCTACAAATTGAAGATTTGTGGCAACCTTATGGCGAGTCAGTCTATGGACTCCATTTTCCCAACAGCATGCACTTACTACATGTCTCTGTTACATTTTGGTAATTCTCATGATATTTCAAACTCTTTCATAATGCTATTGCACACTCAATAGACTACAGTATAGTGTAAACATAACTTCTATATGCACTGGGAAACCAAAATATTTTTGTGACTCACTTTATTGCAATATTCTCTTTATTGCAGTGGTCTGGAACCAAACCCATATGTCCAAGGCATGTCTGTATTTCAGAGATCTACACCCTACCTCAGTTCTCATAGCTTCTGCTCATCTGAGGAAAACCTATATAATGCTTGATTTTTCTAATCATTCCATTTCTGTCTCTAATGCTTGCTTGTCCCAAGCTGAAAGTGGTGCCTGGAATATACTTTTCATAGGGGTATGAAGCTTTCTCCTTTCTCTCATTTAGGGAGATTCCTATTACTTCTGTGAAACAATGCTTGATGCATCTGAAAATGGGACCTTACCACCATGTCTACTCCCATCTAAATATGTGCACTTACGTCTCCCTTTACTTGCCCATTTATAATTTGTGTGTATAACCCTCTGTTTGCAGGAGTTAATCTTTATTAAGTAGTATTCTGTGCTGAGTTACATATAGTTTATCTTTTTCAATCCTCTGAATGATAGGCACTGTGGTTACTACCTGCAGCTTGCATGTGAGCGAACCTCATTGGTCACATCCCAAGGTCTTATGGCTAAGAGAGGCACAGCTAAGAGACTCAAACTTGGGTCTGATGGCTCCAAACCAAAACCATTGGCAAGATGATTCTGATTCATGGCAACACCATGTGGTACAAAGTAGAACTGTTCCATAGCTTTTTCTTGACTGTAATATTAATGGAAGCAGATTGCCAGGCCTTTCTTCTGTGCCACTGCTGGATGGGCTTGAAATACCAATCCTTAGGTTAGTAGTTGAGAGCAAACCATTTGCACCACTCTGGGACCTCTGCTGGTTGCAGAGTATGTGCTATTAGATGTACTGCCCATATGATAACCCACTGCTTATTTGTTATGTACATGCTGAATCCAGAAAGTTTAAAAATTATTGTATGAAAGCTATAAAAAATCATCACCTCAAAGTTGTTTAAAGAAGTTTTTCAGAAAATAAGGGTTTGAAGAATTTCTAAGATAAAGGTGAGATCAAGAGATAGCATGACAGAATCACAAATCAAATTAGATAAGCAAAGAACCAAACGGGACTACCAAAAAGTCTATGAGGATAAGTTAGAGTTTCTGAGAGAAGAAAGGAAGACAGAAGGAGGTGGGCTGTGTGGAGTGGGTTAATGGAACTCCTAGAAGGGAGCTCTGGTGGTGCAGTGCCTAAGGCACTTGACTGCTAACCAGAAGGCTGGCAGTTCAAACCCACCAGTCATTCCTCAGAAGGAAGACTGGGCAATCTGCTTCTGCAGAGATACCGCCTCGGAAATCCAAGGAGAGGTCACTATGAGAAGGGTCCGACTCGACGGCAGTGAGTTTGGTGTTTGGTTGAAGCTGAAGGGCATTGTCCTACCCCAGAAGGACTGAAAATTTGCCATTGGCAGCCTCTGGGAGGCAAGAAGGTGAACTGTGATTTTCAAAATTGTTAGGAACCTAGTGAGCAACTGGGTACTATGAGTATCTGCTGCCTGGCCTGGAGCTCAGCAGAGCAGAGCAGAGGACAACTGATATAGAAGCTGTCTTGTCAGCACTCTGGAGGTAGAACTGTATCCTTGCAGCAGCTTCCTTCTTTAATGTCATTAATTGGGGCAATTTTACAACCCAGGACAGAATCTCAACATTTCCCTTGGTGTTAGGGTACTTCTTGTCCCAGGCAGTCTAACCTGCTGACAGCTTAGCAGCACAGCTAAGCTTAACTATTTATGAGAATAAGTTGGTATGCAAAATGTTCAGATATGTCAGTAGAGTATGTCTGTAAAATGTGGTGAAATTCCCTTTGATCGGAAAGAAATGAACTTAGCATAAGCTGAGCAAGTTACTAGCTGACAGAATAGATTCCTAAAAGACACAAGATAAAGGAGGAAAGTTTTCTTGGCAGTAATGATTGGATGATCTTGATTCTAAATAAGGGTTATGTATCTTTGAACATGGGTCTAACCTATATTTTCCTTTAGAATTTATGTATATGTCTGTGTATAAAATTATTTTTTTATCCAACATCAATACTATTATTTAAAAAAAAATTGTAAAATTCTGTCTCTTGAGGTTTTTGGCCAACATCAATACTATTATTTAAAAAAAAAAATTGTAAAATTCTGTCTCTTGAGGTTTTTGGCTAATTCTAAAGATTAATGACAATAATTCATAACTTCACTTTTGGGAAATGGAGATTTAATTACATATAGAGTATACCGAGGGAGGGCATTTTTTTTTTTTTTTTGAAGTAGACAAATGTAGGTATAATTAAATGTCATTGTTGTTAGCTGCCATCAAGCAACTGTCATGGCAACCCCATCCATGCACAATGGAAACAAAACACTGCCAAATCCTATACCATCTCAGTGATCAGCTTCGGATTGGACCATTGTGATCCCTAGGATTTTCACTGGCTGATTTTCAGAAGTAGATTGCCAGGTCTTTCTTCCTAGTCTGTCTTAGTCTGGAAGCTCTGCTGAGACCTGTTTAGCATCACAGCAACATGCCAGCCTCCAACAACAGACTGTGGCTGCACAAGAGTTGCGTTGGCCTGGAATCGAACCTGGGTCTCCACATGGGAGGTGAGTATTTAGCACTGAACCACCAATGTCTTTCTAATAACACTAAGAAAGCATGTAGAGAAAAGTGAAACAGGAAAAAACATATTTGAGAGTAGCAGTTTTTTTGTGTGTTTGTTTTCCCCCACAGGTGTGGAGAAATGAGTGTCTAAGAAGAAGAGAATGACTGACTTCATTTGCTTACCCACAGTTGGAAAGATTGACAAGGAGGTGTAGGCAGGGTGGCCTGCAGGCCTGGTTCAAACAATGGATGAGAATTAAGGGTATATCCTTGATGAGCATGCAATATCAGCAGTTATGAGCAGGGATGTAAATGGTAAGGAATTTAACCATGTTTGTCTTTTTAAATTGAGAGTTAATGTGTAATGCTTTCACACATTAAAATCTTTTCCTCTTCAAAATTTCTAAAAAATAAAAAAACATTAAGACATCCCTGTCTCTACTCCAGCAGTCGTGGTGGTGCAATGGTTAAGTGCTTGGCTGCTAAGCAAGAGGTATATGGTTCGAACCTACCAGCTGCTCCATAGGAGAAGGATGAAGCAGTCTGCTTCTCTACAGATTTACAGCCTTGGAAATCTTATGCAGCAGTTCTCCTCTGTCCTACAGGGTCACTATGAGTTACAACATGTTACATGGCAACAGTTTTTTTTTGGTTCCCACTCTATCCCTTTACTAGTCTCTTCCTTTGTTTTACCTTAACAACTGATCCTCCAGACCTGATTTGGTCACAGTGAAGTTGATGACAGTAACTTTAATGCACACCTGGAAGAGAAGGACAAAGAACATAAAAATGCCTAAGTACAAATTAATAAAATAAGAACTGTGTTCTTGGTTAGAACATGGCTTATTAGCACCCAGCTGGATGTATCTTAGTTCTAATTGTGTCCTCCATCTCCCTAACCCTCAAGCATACTATGTCCTACAAATCCTGTAACATTTTCCCTGCCAATATCAGTGACAATCTTGTTTTGCAAACAATACTGTTATAGAATCCCACATGGTGAGTTAAGGAAAAGTGAGCCAGGGAATGGTTAGAGTGATGTTTTAGGACCAATAGTTTGGATTCAAATTCCAGTAGATGCATCATGTAGGACAAGCCAATCTATTCACCAGCTCAGAGCTTCACTTCCTGATACTTAAAAATTGGGATAATGATAGTAACAACTCCTAGGGTAGTTGTGAAGACTAAATGAAGTAATAAAAACACTTAATTATAATGCCATGTACACACTGTTGTTGTTGTTGTTATGTGCCGTCGAGTCGGCCCCGACTCATAGCGACCCCTCGTTGGGTTTCCGAGGTAGTATCACTGTGGAAGTAGGATTGCCCAACCTTCCTTCCAAGGAGTGGCTGGTGGGTTTGAACCGCCAGCCTTCTGGTTAGCAGTCAAGTGTTTTAGCCACTATGCTACCAGAGCTCCTATGTACACACTAGGTCCTTATTAAAAAGAAGCTACTATATTTTTTTTATTGTGATTTGGATGAAGATTTACAGAACAAATTCACTTTCCATACAGCAGTTCACATATACTTTGTCTCATATCATTGACCACAGTTTACCACAATGCAACAGCTCCCCTCCCACTTCCTCCCCATAGTTACCTCTTTCCAGTGTCCATCCTTCCATGCACTCCTGCCCCCTGAGCTGTCTCCCTGTGTATAAGCAGCCATTCTTTCTCCCATGATTGTTCTCTCCAAGGAGTATATCTACCTGAGGTAAATGTTCAACTTATATGCCTGCATTTTGTTTGGCTGCAAACCACAGGTGTGGGTTCAATTCCAGACCTGAAGGGCAGCTAACGGCCATAGTCTCAGCAGTTCTACCAGGCTCTATCGGACCAGAAAACCTGGTCCTCCCCCCCCTTTTTTTTTCTCCAAATGATTTTGAGTTTTGTCCCACATTGTTCTCCCTCTCTATCAAGGGTCTCCTACATAGATCCCCTTCCAAGTGGATGACAGTGGTAGCCAGGCACCATCTAGTTCTTCTGGTTTTATAGTCATATAGGTTGCAAAAAGAAGCTACTATTGATAATAAATGGTGTTTTATATATTTTGTGTCATAATATTTTTATGGAGAATTGTTACAACAAGATAAAAATATTCTGACATTACTTGAATGTGAATAAGTCAACAGCAAGAGACAATAAATATAATAAGTGTTTGAGTACCTGCAGGACATTTTATATAAATTATTCTATTTAATTTCACAACAAATTCTTGAAGTATGTTTTATCCCCACTTCATGTTTGATGGATTTGAGGACCCAGGATATGGAGTAATCTACCTGCAGGGACTTCTAAGGCGGTAAATCTTTATGGAAGTAGACTGCCTAGTCTTCCTTCTGTGGAGTGGCTGGTGGGTTTGAACCTCCAACCTTCTGATTAGCAGTCTAATGCCTTAGGTGCTACGCCACCAGAGCTCCTCGAATTTCACAACAAATTCTTGAAGTATGTTTTATCTTCACTTCATGGTTGATAGACTTGAGGACCCAGGAGATGGAATAATCTACCCACAGTCACAGAGCTAGTAGCAGTGGCAGGATTGGGTCTAGGGTACAATGGTCCCTTTCAAAATTAAATGAGAAATTAAAGGTTGGAAGTCAATACATCAGTTACTTTCTTAAACCCGAAATGGGATCTGCAACAGGGAGCCCTGGCAGTGAGTGTGTAATCAAACCCCTTGAGGTTGACAAAGAAACCCTAACTCTGTCAAAAATGCTATCTCCCCATCCTATTCAAAAGGTGTGTCAATTTCATTCAACTTGACCTCATCTAATGAAGACAAGTAGCTATGAGAAATCCAATAGCTAAAATTAAAATGACAATGTTTAGAATGGATATACTAGGAATTTTTGAGTGGTGGTAGAGGAGTAAAAAATTTTGATTTGTATGGTCTCTTCCCTATTTATGCAGCTTGGTTTGAAAAGACCCTGCAGAGTGTACGTGGGTATGCCTGGAGCTGTGGCAGCCCCAAGTTGGATGGGTTTGGATCGGGCCACAGAAAACCCTGTAGATGAATGCAAGAAGGAAAGCTCAGCTGTCTTTATTTCTGTTACAACTGCCTAGGCTCTGCAGCCAAGAACTGCGGTTCTTTTGGATCCTATCATGGCTCAGGGACATGTGTATAGAAGTGGAGTTCACCTAGCTCCTCTCAGATAGTCTAAGAGCGTGAGGTAAGGGATGCGATGCCCCTATCCTGACACTGTAAGTTCAGACACTGCACATTTGAATCATGATTCACTAATGTTGCTCAGTTTTCAGAGGTTTCACATAGGCAGGATCTTTATTTGGGGCTATGTACATGTCCACACTTACATTGACAGTAAGTGTGAATGTGTACATAGCCCCAAATAAAGACATGTGGCAGTTAAACTCTGACTCATTTTCCTACCACATAAGAGGGGCAAAAGAAGGCCTTATACTGAGGGAGGGAGAAGGGAGTGGTGCCCTGTATGTATAAGAGCCGCAGCTTGGGAACTAGGAGGAGAGTGCTGGAGAGGGGCACAGCCTAGTGAGACAGGGCTGCTGCCTGGGGAAGAAGTCGGAGGGACTGGAGTCCCAAGTAGATGGTGAGTGTTATAGCATGAGGAGAAGGATGCTCAAAATCAGAATAGTGACTCAGGAGAAAAGCAAGAGTGGAAGAGGTTGGGAGAGAAGATGTGGAGGGAGAAGAGGAAGAAAGGGCAAGAACTGCTTCTTCCAGATGTCTTAGTTGTCCACCATACTTTAGAGACTCACCACACCATAACAACCCAGTTAGGCTGGGATTCCAGACAACCAGGGCTTACCTCAGGCAGATAGTGGGGATTTGGCATTTTGGTTGTCATATAAAACCTAAAGTTTTTGTCATAATCAATGTCTGAGTCTCCAAGGCGAATGAGAAGTCGTCCACCACTAAAGAAAGTCTGTTTCAAAAGAATGGGTTCTAGAGCTGGATCCAAGGTTTCTTTAAGCTTAAAAATGAAAACAATACAAGGACAATAAGCAATTAAAATCACATTAATTTCTTAAAAATTCTTAAGCTTTAAAAGTCACTTTGAATGAACATTTTCAGTGATGTTATAGACATTAATTAGTGTTCTCACTTACCTCTAACAGTGTACATTTTCTAGTGATTACCTTATCAACAGTCTAAGGAAATAAGGACATGTGAGGGCAATACATCTATTTAGACTAATCTCATACACATATTCATCCCTCTGAGAAATAATCTAAAAGAGAAGAGTCAGGGCATATTTAATCACTGTAGGGTGGTTCTTCAATAGGCCCCAGACAGATGAAGATCTGTGAATTTTCATGGTTTTTCTAAGTGAAAGGTTGGCAAATTATGACCTGCAGACCAAATCCAGACCCTGTGGCCTATTGTTTTTATCACTCTAGAGTAAAGAATAGTTTTTACACTTTAAAAATGTTCAATAGTAGATTAATAGTTACCTATGGCTGGGGGCAGTTGAAAGGAAATGGGAGTGGTATTTCTTTTGGGGATGATGAAAATGTTCTAGAATTGATTTTTGTGAAGTTATACAATTCTGTGAATATAATAAAACGATTGAATTGTTAAAAAAATAAGGTTGTAAGAATAAGAACAAAACAAAACAAAACAAAAAGAATATGAGACAAAGACTTACTGGCATGCAAATCCTAAAATATTTATTATCTGGTTGTGGACTCCTGCATGCCAGATATAGATGTTCATTTTCTGAAATTAAAATATGATTATTTGTAAGAACTTGGTCATGTAGACATCACCATATTAATGTCAGGGTATACATGATGGAGACCCATGGCCCCAGAGGCTTCCCAATATTTGACTGTAATTCATAGTAACAGATCAATTTCAAATTATGACATGGTACCCATATTTGTAAATACTTAAAACAGAAATTTATGAGATAAAATTTTACCTTTGTTTACTCATCGTGTGCTTTTGTGTTTTTATTATTATTATTCTATTTTATTAAGAAATGCTAGTAGAGATCTACTAAATGGATTTCATATCCATGAACAAGTAGGAACAAAATTGGAAACTACCACCCCAGAAAATATAGAAAGCAGCTGGGGGTACAATGATAATGACCCCAAGTCATAGAGTGTGTAGAAGGCCCAGTCAGAGTGCCCTGTTATTGTCCTTGGGCCCTGACCATGGACTGCCCCCACTCTCAAGAATACTCTGCTACAGGGAAAAGGCCCTACAGCTAAGAGGCAGATCATCAGTCTTTTTTCTGCTGTCATTTGAGAGGTAAGTTTCTCAGGACCTCCTTAGTCATGAAGTAAATTTGGGCTGAAGAATTCAGTTTGGAACTAACATAACTGTGCCACAGATTTTGGGAGATCTCACCCTCTCTTGCAGTGTCAAATTACCCAATAAGTAAGGTAAGCATGGGCTTACTTGTACTTACTTACTAATCTGTAGTGAACAGTGTTTTTCACCACATCAAAGATTCTGCTTCCAGGTATGGCTGGCATCTGTCTCTCTCCCAACCCCACAGTGCTTTCCTACAGAATCAAAGTCTCCTGTCAAATTTACAGTCCTTGAGAAGGAAGGAGAAATTGCTCATTACAGATTAGTAAGTAAGCACAAGTCACCTGTGCTTACCTTTCTTATTGGGTAATCTGTCCCTGCTCTCTTGTTTGAGAGAGAGCCTGGGATCCTAAGATCAGAAGCTGTGCATTGAGGCTTCTTGTGTTCTTTAAGGCTTGAGTGGAGAATGTGATGGATTTTCCAGTTCTCTTAACTTTTCTGTGCCTCAGTTTCCTCACTGGTAGAATGGGATAATAATAGTAACTGCCTTGTATGGCTGCAGTGAAGATTAATGATTAATATAAAAATACAAAGAACAGAATCTGGCAGGTAGTGAACACTCAATACTAATTATTCCTAGGTGCCATGCCAGGGCTGCAGCTAACCTGTCCCAGGTTAATGCTCTTTTCTGAGCTTCTTGTCTTTCTGTTGAAGCAGAGATGCTTCTAGCCACGGTTACATGGAAACTGGCTATCCTTTGAAGCTTTAATCACAAGTTCTCTTCCTTCCCCTTCACTCTCATGCCCCTTTTTTGTTTATTATCTCTGTCTCCAACTGGACTGTAAGCTATTCATGACAGGAATCACATCCATGTTGTGAGTCACTGGTTCTCATATACTGTTTGTTGAATGAGTGAATAAAGTAAAAAAAATCCATTCTCCAAGAGATCTGAAGAAGCACTTAGACTCAATAAACAAAAATTTGTTTTTTAAACAAAAAATCATTCTATCAGTCATCACTGAATCTAACTCTGAGATTATATCTAAATGGAAAATAACATTTATACCCACTGGAGTATTTTGTAAGTTTCAATCATTTGTGTGTACAGATGGTCTTCCACTGCACTATTGGTTTGAATTTTCAGGGCAGCTAACAATCAAGATGCTCAATGAGGCCTGAGAATCAGCAGTGCCAGGAAACAAGCCATCCCACTTAGCACCAAAACAATGTCTGAGAAGGGAAAAAAAATCATTCAATCAACATATTCCTCTCTGAATGAGAGTGTATTGTTTCAGGAGCAAAACAACTGGTTTGACCAGTTTGAAAATAGAGTTGACTGGTGTCTTTGGTGTGATGCAGATATGGCTCTGGTATGCAGATATGGAAACTGCTGCCTAAGTTTCCTCATTGGTAAAAAGGGATAATAATAGTAACTACCTTGTATGGTAGTTACTTGTATGGTAGTTAAGGCACTTGACTGCTAACCAGAAGCCTGGCGGTTCAAAGGCACCAACCACTCCTCAGAAGGAAGGTTGGGGAATCTACTTCCATAGTGATACTGCCTCGGAAACCCCAAGGAGGGGTCACTATGAGTTGGGGCCGACTCGATGGCACATAACAACAACAACAACAATAGGATTCTATATGTGATCTGAAAGTTGGGAACTAACATGAGAAAAGAAAGGAAAAACCAACCTCTTCTAATAAGACAGGTAAACCAAGTCGGATTGAATTCTCAAGTGTACGTAGGAAATGACTGTCTGTAAGTTTAATGATCTTTAAACCACTTTTGCTTTCCTTGTTTCTTATCCAGCGGTTTGCCTGTAAGAGAAATCACAGAGCAGGGCAATTACTTTAAAGATTTATGTAAGGTCAGAAAATGAAAGTTTTTAGAATGTTGTTGTTGTTGTTGTTAAGTGCCGTCGAGTCGTTTCCGACTCATAGTGACCCCATGCACAGCAGAATGAAACACTGCCTGATCCCGAGCCA